CCCCAAAACCCCAAAACCCCAAAACCCCAAAACCCCAGAAGGTGTAGGATTAGTTGAACAAATAGAGGAAAATGGAATTTTAAGGAAGAGATTGGGAGGAGGGGAAGGGGATTTTGAGTTTGGGTGGAATTATGATGAATAGTTTTATCTTGGCGTCCGGAGACCAGGTAGAGTGGTGTTAGAAGGTTTTTGGTAAACTCTTGGCTTATAATCCCTTGTATCAACTTCATTAAAAATGGGATAAACTTGGTCTCTCCTCCTGCTACCTCTCCCCTGGTCGTTACTCATTTCAATATCTCTACTGACGCTCCTGGTAGTTCCTCCAGTCTCTTTCTTTGTACTTGAGTTTCCATGCCTGAAGGAAGGATTAGGACACTGGAAGGGAATTTAGACATTAAAGAAAAATTAAAATTTCTCAAAATTGCCAATTTTTCTGTATTATTAAGAGCACGAAAAATGGTGAGAATGGAGATGAAATATAAGCCCAAGGTTAATATACACACGATAACAAGATTTTCTCTCAGAATGCAGCTTGGTGAAGTATTATTAGATACTACTAGCATTTCAGGCAACTCCTTTATGATTTAAAAATCTTAAAGGATTATATCAGTAAATTTAAACCATAATATGACAAAAATGAGAAAACTAAATTTTCCCTACCCCTCATTATCTATTGCAAATATCTTTTTCTGAATGTTAAACTTCTGGCTACTCTTTACTGTGACAATCTTCGTTGAAGACAACACTCTCTTGCTCTTCTTTCGCGATTTTCAGTTCAATAAAATTTGGTAAATAAGGTTGATAACACTAATTATCAATACAGCCATCGTGTTGGTAATAACTGAATTATTTAGAAGGACTTCCAAGATTCTTGATTCGTATCTCTGCAGCGCAATGATTAAAAATATTGTCAGTGAGTAGGATACTTCGTTGACAATCTCAATAATATTCGGACACTTTTGGTCATGATGTCTGACAATAACTGCTAAGACAAGTATTAAAACTTGCAGAAGTACAAAAACCATAAGCCGCAGCATCAGATAATCTTCTCTCAAAGCTACAATCACCACCACTATTAGGAATCTTCTTAAGAGAAACGTAAAATTATACAGTTGTGCATACTTGCTCTTTCTAAATCCTTCAAAGAGTTCTTTGACATATTTGTTTTCGTGAGGATTTTTCACTGAGAAATACAAAATAGGAATCAAGCACATGAACAAAAACAGGAGGAAAACAGTAATAACACTTATAATGTATGAGATCAGATTGGCTGAAGCATCTGAGATTCTGAACACCTCACTAACTGAAATCAGGCATATAAGCAAGGAGACTTCAATCAAGTATCTAAAATAAAATTTGAAGTAGAAGAAGTCTGAAACGTAGCAGCAAATTTTGGATAAGCATCCTTTACTCTTTGTCTTTCAGAAAATTTTCAAAGAAGGATATAAGAGAAGAGCCAAGAGAGTAGCCCCGAGAAGATATGCAAAGATATCAAATCAGCTGACTAGAGAACTCCCTGATTCATATTCATTATCCCTAAACTCTTGGTATGGGTTTTTGTAATCGATGTGATCAATGATTTCTTTGAAAATTGGAAGAGTCCGAATATTCACAAGGTTAATGTTGAGAATAGTAATCTCAAGAGCTTTTAAGGTTTGAATAAATTCAAACGGAAGTATTGCTCTTAAAAATGGAATCATCATAAACAACTGAAACTGGTTGAACATAGCCCACATACTATGAGATGATGAACCAGATAGAGTTCCTGCTGCTATCGAAGACATTGCTGTGCCTGCAAATCCAGCAATTATAAGTGAAGAATTTAAGCTCAAGATTCCTTCTATTTTTATGCAAGTTTTTGAACTCGTCAAAGTATATCCATCAACACAAGCAATGCATCCAGATGTGTTACAATCTTTTCAATTCTGAGCTTGGCAGATTGGGTTAGAACCTGAAGGATTGCTTGCTGATGGAATACTTGGCGAGTCTGGAATTGAAGGGTCTGGAGTAGGAGGAACTGGATCAGGAATAACTGGGACTGAAGCCACATTTATCTGAACATTTCTGAGGTATATTTTCCCATCAATAGTGCTCTTTCCTGTAAAATAAAATGTCTACCCATCTGCAGATGATGGAACTGTGTAATCAAAGGACAAAGAGTCAGCTCCAACAGTCACCCAATCAGGCTTCAGTTCACCATTTGAATGAGTATCAATTATTGAACTGATCGAAGTTGCCCCACTTATAGAGCAAGGGAAAAAGTTCGGAATGTTTCCAGTAATTTCAACAGTTGTATTCAAGATATACTCTTCTCCTTCAAAGATAACTTCATTTTCTCCATTCAAATCACTTGTAGGAGTAGGTGGAAGTAACACTAAGGAAGAAACGCTTGAAGATCTTTTGGTCAAAGAAGAAGGACCTGAAGGAATGTGGTCTACTCCTGAACCCAAGTATGAATATCCAGATGATGAAGTAAATGAACCACTTGTTATTGTAAAAGATACTTCAGTATTATGACCATAAATTCCGTTTGCAGCTAATCTCGATATTGCAAGAACTGAGGATGAAGAGGGAACTCCAGATCCAATTAGAGTGTGTCCTCCTGCCTCAAGTATCCATCCCGGAATGATGGTAGTGCTCACATATGCATTGGAGAATGAGTCATTTAAAGGATCATATTCAATTTTGAATGCTCCATTGCTGTATTGCATCAAAATAAATATACTCTTGAACGAGGCAGAGTAAGCTATACTGCTAATTTGTAAACTAGTCTGAATAAAATCTGGCACATAAGACCCTACAAGAGCTCCATCATCAAGATTGCTAACAAATATAATAGGCTGAGTATCCAGGAAGTAACTCATGACTTTGTTATCTTCTTCAAGAATTAATGAATCACTAGTACCACTTAATGCTCATGAAGTTGGGCATCCAAGTCTCTTAGCCCATTGCTGAGTTCTTGTGTTATAATTGATTGAGAGCAAGCTATATGATTGAGTAGGACTTGTAACTGAGCCACTGATCATCATGAGTTCTTGACTTGAAATAACATAAGACCTGATGGAGAACACTGAGTTTAGACTGACTGGGATTGAAATAATGGATGTAGAACCAAAATCTGAGTATCCTATTTTGAATAATCGAAGAGTTGATGAAAGTTTTCCTGAAACATAGATATCAGAGCTATCGTCAGAAAGAGTCAAGGAGTCACAATTAATTGCAGTGCTTATTTCAATTTGTTCGATAATCGAATTTGTTGTACTGTCAAGCTTGATCAATGGTCAGTCGAATGAAGATTTCATCACAGTCACTAAGCTAGTTCCAGACTGATGAAGAGCAATTGCATTCTTAGCAATATATTCATTGTCAAAATTTCTCATCCAGAGCAGATTAAAGTTTGAATCAAATTTAAAGATTCTGGCTTTATCTGTAAATAAAAATTTACCGTTTGCTGTCATAAAAACACAGGAATAGTCTGGGCAAGAGATCCCATTAGTAATCTCCACACTTCCAAAAGTAAGATAACTAAAAGACACACTTCTGATCTTCATTGAAGTATCTGTCCCTACCGGGCACTGAGCTGCAGTCACTATTCATGTCAGTATTTATGTCAGTACAATCTAAACTCATTGAGATGCTTCAAAATAATGTTAGTTCTTATATCTTATTTCTAAAATGTCGATAATCAAAATAATTCAAGAGCATCAGAATTGATTATCCTTGATGATTATATTTTCCACTTATAATAAGCTAGATATCTCTAAAACATCTAAATATAACACTCCAAAAACCCTACCTGCCTCCTACACCTTAACCCAACACTTTTCAATCAATCTTAAAACACAACAATCACAATCCTTATACCCATCAACCCGAAAACTTGTCCAAATACCCCAAAAACCCCTCGAAACCCATATACCTAATCTGCCGCCTCCCCTAAAAGCCCTTACCACCCACCAAAACCCCATGGCAGCCCTCCTTAATCTAAGCTGTCCACCCTTCTTGCTCTATTCCCTCTTCGTCCTATCTGTCCTAAGCTATTCATAAGTAACTTCTACAGCATGGCTGTTTCCTTATTTTGAGATGTGAAACTTTTTAAAGACCTCTGACTGAAGTGAAGTTCAGGATTTGGAGGTGGAATGAGGAGTGAAGGCTGGAATAGCAAGGATATAAGTTTATAGAAGGTAAATAAGTGAAGAATAAGTGGAAGAATTACATCTCATTTTCTCAACATTTTAATAAATCTATGCAATCTGAATTTTAAATTGGGGTTTAAAAATCAAAAATCCCTCTCATTTTTCTATCCTAAACATTCCCAAAAACACTCCACACACTTCCCAAACCCTCTCGATCATCTTCTCATTCCCTTGTGTGTCGACCATACTAATCTCCACTTACCATATTAAGATAATCATTTAATTTATATTCCCTCAAATCTTCCAATATCTCTGCACTGGCTTGGGGTTTTGGGGTTTTGGGGTTTTGGGGTTTTGGGGTTTTGGGGTTTTGGGG